GGAAAAATGGCCGCAGACCATGTGGCACGGGTGGAAAATGGCCGCGGACCACGTGGCATGGGCGGAAAAATGGCCGCAGACCATGTGGCACGGGTGGAAAATGGCCGCGGACCACGTGGCACGGGCGGAAAAATGGCTGCGGACCACGTGGCACAGGCGGAAAATGGCCGCGGATCCGGTTCATACTCTGAGGCGGAGTTCGCAAACCGAGGTAAATTTTTGCGACCAGAGCTGGTCGCAACCCGAAAGGTTCGTAAGCAGAGGCATTCGTAACCCGAGGTACCACTGTAGTAACTAATGGAGTGATCACAAATAGGAATCCTGCTCAAATTATATATGCTGATTATGCATGTTCCTCTAAGAGGGCAATGTGTGAATCATCCCAAGACTAGCACAGATAGATAATCATAAATATCTAGATATGAATATGTAAAACATGTCATGTCATTTCTATAAATCTGATTCCACTGAATAAAGAAAGTAAGTTGTTACAAGGAAGAAGAAAATCCACACCTTTGGAATGACTGCATCATTTGCCCTTGCATCAATGGGACACAATCAAACTGAATTAGTGAGGCATTTTAGGACTTACAAGTATTTCTGGTTTGGATATTGGTGACGCCTCCACCTCCTCCTCTATTTCTTCTACTTCCTCTGTCACTAAAGCTACAATGATAAAGAAAATCTCATATAGGAATGCAACCTGACTCTAAAAGTGATGGTGGAAATTATTACAAACGGTTGGAATTTAACGCTACACAAAACATGTAGCTGAAATTCTTACATTCAGGATTCTCTGAAGACTCTCCCCTATCTTCGGAAAACAGCTGGCTGATAGTGATGCTTCTGAGGGATGTTATATCAGAGACCATATCCTTGGATGTTCTCAGATCATCTATGTGCACAGACTGCCACAGCCCTAAAAGCAACAGATGGTATTTCACGGCTGCCACTTGCGTTCCCATTAATAGTTCTCAAGGAAAACCACTTAACCCAACACAGAGGGGGTAGAACAATAACAGTAATATATCTTCTGCCATGTAACAGCAACACCCTCAATTAAATTAACTCATAAAGTTCTCTTTCAGTTTGGCCAACGATATGTCTCAGAAAAGGTGGAAGGCCCCAAGGACAGGATTATGGGAAACAAACAAATACATTAGCCTCTGAAGAAATCATGGAAGTCAGGGAAAGAAAATAAAAAACACTACTGTTATAAACACAAGAGTGTGAAGAGGTATACTATTTTAATACACATTTGAGAAAATGGAAAAATAGATTTTGCATTTATAGTGACATGCAGTGGAAGATCTATCTAAAATTAAGAGATGTTTCATATATTCCAATAATATTTGCTCAGGTCAAAGTATTTAACTTCAGTTTAATACACAAGATTCTGATTTTTCTTTAAGCGCATCCATGATTTTTGTCTTAAAGTACAAGCTAAAAAACAAAAGGCAATGGACACGATGTGATGGATGTAAGGATAGAAAGGTTACAGCAAGATGTAAGTGAACAGTTTGGTGTAAATATAGCCAAATATATATATGTAAATATAGATTTAGTTACATTTCCTTCTTTTTTCCTTATTTCATTTCATGCACAGCAATAATAAAATTAACAGTATATATCCAGAACAGAAGTTTGACTAAATTCAAGCAAGAACAGCTTCCCTATATATTACATGTCACCTATAAGATACCCACTGACTCCACAGCTTAATGTTTTTTGAGAGGGCTGAGAACTGTCACGAGCAGGAGCAAATGATAGCAAAGGAATGAACAGGGGCAGAAATTTTCTTTTTTTCTAATTTGGGAGATTCGGAACTGTGGGTTTTTGGTTTTTTTTTTAAGTTCACTGCATTAAACCTATTTTACAGCATATAGTTTTTATGTTTCCCAACTAAATATGGCAAGAAACCACATCGCTGATTTTCAGCAATTTTGCCACCAAAAGTTTGTGGTCTCTTCAGAGGGTGCACTACGAAAGAAAAAAAGGGGGGGGGGCTTTAGGGGCCAACTACAGTCTACAGGCTGAGGTTCCCATCCTGATTTAGGATACAGTATTACATTGGCTTTATTTCAGAGCTATCTTGACACTGAACACGGTCAATACTGCAGTAAATAATGGAAACAGCACAGGAATCTCTGTGTAACAAATAAATAAAGGATGTGTAAGAATGCAGATGAAACTAACAGGCTTCATATTTTGTTGTATTTACACAGCTGCTCAGAACATTTTTCGAACATGTGTGGACAACGAAACATGTACTTATGAATGCTACACAAGAAAAGTTGCAAACTTTTTCTTGTACAGAAATGGCATAATACATTTTTCATCTTATTTGTAGCCTTGTATTAGAAGCACACCTCTTTCTATATTGCTGTGATTTGTAAATCTCATTGCTGGGACCATTTGTGAGAGGAAGCAGGAAACATTCCTGAAGCCATAGCAGCACCTTTAGTAGATCTCCAGTCTCCTTGTTGTTCTGTGTTTTTGCACATAAGCCAACCTACCTCTGTGAAACCCTATGTAGGAACTTCCTCCTTCAATTCGTGATAGCTTAGTGATGAAAAATACAAACACCCTGGCTTGATTCTCCTGTATTTTGTTGACTTCATTAACAGTTGAATACCTGCAAGGGAAGAGAAACAGGTGTCACTCTTTTGTGAAGTTAAAGCAAAGCCCTTATTCACCTGCCCAACATCTCCCATGATTTCAACACCAATAAAGCATATTCCCCATCCCATTCTGATAGATAGTATTAAGATGACCAATAGGTCCACACAGCTCTGCATGGAATTAGCATTTTTCATATTTGTCTGGAGTGTTTATCAGACTATGTAAAAATCTTCTATGAACTTGGCTGGCTTATAAATACTGTTAAATAAAGAAATACATTATAGCAACTATTAATTAATATATGCTCAATATTGCTTATCTAATAGGTTTATCTAACAGGCAACTTACTTGGCTGAAGCAATGAGCTGGGCACTAAGAGATCCATTTTCAAAGTCAGTCTGAATAATGAGGATTTTACTCCCATGTGTCCTCCCACCAAGAAAATTCCTGAAAAAATACAGAAATGTTCAAATGTTTATTTTGTTGCAGAAAGAATGGATCACCCACATCCAGACCCGTTTGAAACAATGTCACCTCCAAAAACTCCAGCAGTTTGAACAATAACATAAATACGTTATAATCCTCCATTTTATGTTTTTCAGTTCAGTTATAAAACTACTCCATCATACCAAATTTACTCTATTAATCACGTATTTTATTACAAGCACTTTTATACCACTTCAAAAAAGAAATCTAAGAAATGTAAAGCAAGAAACATACAAATATGTATTATTCTGTAACATTTTTAGATGATGAAAACTCACTGAATATCTTTTAAAAATGAGTATTCTGTGTCAAATTGCTGCAAGAACAAAACTTTCAGGCTGTCTGCATTATGCTGCACTTCTGCCTCCAAAATCTCTGTGTCTGCTGTAGTCAGGAGCCTGGAGAAGGTCGTAATCTAGAACAGTCAAGACAGCAGGCTTTTCTGTCAAATGTTAACAAAGTTTTCATAGGATGGTCAAGCAATCCACTGGTTTTTCATTATCCAAAGGGAAAGACCTTTCCCTTCCCTTCCCACACACATACAGGTAGTCTTTGTTTAGCAATCACAACTGGGACTGGCAACTGGGTCGTTAACTGAAGCAGTTGCTAAGTGAAACCTCAACTGTGCTTATGATCTTACTTCAGCTTTCCTTTCCTTTACAGACCTGCAAAGGTCATAAGTGTGAGGATTGGTTGTAAAGTTTATTTTTTCATCACCATCGTGACTGCGAATGGTCACTAAATGAGGCAATCACTAAACAAGGACTACCTTTTATGGGAGTTGACGTAAAAGCAGGAAAGATTTGAGTGACGCTATCAATTACCTGGGTACAAAAAGATCAGGTAATTTGTAATCAAAAGCCCATTCTACTTATTAACAGAATTTTATTTATTGCCTAAATTGGTATAGCAAATTTCTTAGTTCTAATACACAGAAATAGTACTGAAAGAGTCCTTTCACAGTTAGAGACCTTGTGAATCCTGAGATTCTGACAAGAAAGCACATTTGCACATTATCACCACAAATATCTCCTGCACGTATTTTTAATTTCAAAACATTTAGTATTCGGGGTAAATCCAGAGCACACAAAATAACACAGCAGCCATGCAAGTAACTTTTGCTCCTTCTGTACTGTCCAAATTTGTAGAAAATAACAATTCACTAATGTAAAACCGTAGCAAGCTTCAGGTATATGCACGTTCTCATCCTTCCCTCACCTAAGTGCACAAGCTTGAGGCTTTCTACACTAATATTATTCTAATGAATAGTTATGTGATTACATCTGAATAAGCCATTTTCTACAACCTATAAAGCAACAAGTATTGCTCTGTAAGTATAGATGATCGTATTAATGATCATTTCAGCAGATTGGATGTGATAAAAAGTGTCTTACTTTTCCCCCTGTTAACAAAGTTACTTTTATCCATCCAAAGGTAGCTCAAAATAGACCTAAGTCTTAAAAACTGTTTGTATCAATCCTGAACCATAATCTCCAAAACAAAATATAAGTTAATTAGCCCTGACTCCAAAGGATGATTGAAATGCATCCCAATTTGGAGCATTTTAAAATTGTCTCTAAGTAGCTGTTGCCATGTATCATGCCAAGTCCAAGAATTCACCATATTTATGAATACAAAAAAGAAAAAAAGGTGGGGGGGAGGAGGAAGAAATGTTTAATTGCAGTTTACCTCAATGAAAACTGTATGGTTTCTGGAGTCCGATCCAAAGCATATGTGCAAAAATTCAGCAAAAGAAGTGTGTTGCTGTTGCTGAAAGTATATCCTAGCCAACTCTTCTCTTAAAAAGTCCAGTTTAGAGTCCCCAAGGCGGACTACAGAATCTGGGGTCGCACAGTTCAACAGATCCAGCTTGGCCTGCTCTCGTACTTTCTGCATTAGCTGTTCAGGAGGAAGAGATGCTTTCAGCTTCTCTGTTACCTGCAGGACAAGTGAAGCACAAGTGTCTGAATGGTAGCCAATAAAAACATCAGAAGGTGTGTATTTTTGTTCACCCATCAAATATTTTTCAGTTTTAACTGCTACAAAGTCATCCACCCATTTCTTCAAGTCTTCCACAATGGTCTTTTGCCACTTGTTCAGCACAGTATTAATATCCAGATAGTGCTTTTCAAGCCGGTTAATCAACGGAATGGGAAAGTGTTTGTACACGACTTCTTTCTCCTCAATGACAATCAGTCGAAACTTGGGATGCACTCTGCATTTCACTCGATGGGTCCCCAGTCCTAAGTCAACATATTTTTGACCAGCAAGTTGAACATAATACTGATTGAGGGCATCATAGAGACTCTCATAAAGGTTTTGTAGGTTGAGAAGAACGACCATCTTCCCGGTCTCCATGCAAATCTTTACTCGGTTTATGTTTCTGCAAATCTGAGTATATTCTTGATCTTTGGGAAAGCTGGAACCAAAAATGACTTCTGGCTGAGCATCTCTGAAGAAACGCTGCTGGAGAATCTGAAGCGCTGCATAATTTTCTGTTAACACTAACAGATATCGACATTCACCATCCTGATAATCGCTATAGATGTTCTGCTGGACTAAATCAATTGTACTGATATCCTTATAATTTTCATCTCCGCCTTCTGGAATCTTAGACATAAAAATATCCAAGGCTTCAATACCTTCTTTGCCACTGAAATTTCGGAGAACTATTTCTGCTATTTCACGGGGGTCTGGTATGCTTCTAGATTTTTTGGTTAAACCAAATAACATTTTTACAAGACTATAATAGTCACGCAACCCAAAAAACTCCTTAATTTGGGTCTTGCAAATTTCTTCATATGCATTTGCAAAGACAGGAAAGAAACGCTCAACTCTCTGTAGTACAAAAAGTTCTGAAGAGCAAATACCTTTTGCACTTTCTATGAGTTCATTTTTATTCAGGTCTCCTCGGGATACAAAGATACCTCGATTCATCTTAGCTGGATCTAGAGCCCAGTTAGATATCCCAATGAAGCCAACCTTTTTGTGAGGGAGTCGATCATCATCAATACACCCATCTTCTAAAAGAGGGTGAAGGGTCTTCAGAGGCATTTTGGGAGAGTCTTCTGCCAATCCAATTTCATCTAATACAACCACAGAGACATATTCTCCAAGGTTTTTTCCTTCCTGGAAGCGAGCACAATGCTTGAATGTATTTATGATCCCCTCCGGGGTAGAATGTGGGCTGCACTGAAAAGACACCAAATGAATCTGCTTAAGTTCCTTATAAAGATCAGAATATGCTGTTTGACCCTGCATGGCATCAGCCACGATGGTCTTGGCAAGAGATTTTGAGCTGCCTGGCTTCCCAATAAGAAACAAAGGGATTTTAAGTTCAATGCAGATCACCATCATAAACACGTTTTCCTTCAAAGCCAGGTTCTTTGCTATTCTTTGTCTCAGAGGCGCACCACTCAAGAAAAGATCCTGAACTAAGCTAATTTCTTCAAGAACTCCTTTTTCATTATCGTATGGTTCTGGAAGTATTTTGCAGATAACTCTCCAGTATGCCTCTTTCTGTTCCAGAGAAGCATGGTAGCAGACAGCAACTGAAAGAATCAAAGACCAAATGATTTTGTCTCTCTGGATTACACTTTTAGGAGGATTACTTGCCAGATACTTCTCCAGATATTTAATAAGAAGTTCGCTGTGGCTGTGAAACCATTTGAAGACTTCCATACAGCGTTCTACATCTCTGAGGCTGATAAAGCTGCATTCATCTTTCCGCTGTCTCATGTAGGTCTGTGACTTAAAAAGCACCTCAATAATCATTTTGATCTCAGTAGCAGACATTTTTATCGAGCTGGTAAGTCGTTCCACAATCTGCTGTATGTATAGTTTTTCAGTAACATTGTTCAACTGCCCAAAATCCCACACCAGAGGTATCATGCTTGGTGGGAGTGCATGGACACGGTAAACTAGCTGCCGAAGAGGAATGGAGCCAAGTTTATCGCTGGTGTCCTCTGCTTTGACACGATAACCCAGTCCAGCTGACTCCAAACGTTGGATCATTTTTGGTGTGTGTTTGCGATAAGGATTGCATGCAGCTATGATCTGTAAACCTGAGTCGGGGACTAAAGGCTCTCCTTCTATAGTGCAGTCACATAAAACTTCCTTGATGCTACTGACAGCTTCTGTGGTATTGGCTTCATCAAAAAATAAAATTGTGTCAATCTTATATTTCCTCTTATTGTACTTGGCCATATCTTTAGCTTCCCTCACTTTATCATAGATTGCATCTGCTGTGGTACCTCCATGAACTTTGACAAGCTTCATATTATCAGCATTAGCACCACACTTACGCATTTCACACAGATATTTTATAAGCCTGGTTTTTCCACAGCCAGTTTCTCCCATCAGGACAACAGGAATTCCACACCTAAATCTCATTTCAATAGCAAGGATTTTTAGCATATTGTCTGTTGTAAGTTCATAAGTTTCATCAGGATCGCTTGGCCACTGGATCCCTAAGACCATGCAAAGTTTCTCAATTTTCTGAGCTCTGGGCAATGCATCAAAATTAACATTGAATGGAACTTTTTGAAGAACTAATCCCTTGTAAAGCTGAGGTGTCATGACATTGCTCTTGATAATATTGCCATTCAAAGGATTGATGGCATCAATGCCACCATTGATATTCTCCTGGAGATGAAAGCCAATGAAAGTCATAGATATAGAGTCTTCATTAAAGAATATGTATGGATGCGGTTCAGACTCCCACTTTTTCCGAAGCAGAAATGGAGCAAGAGCTTCCTCAGTAACGCCTTCGAAAACTTGCCTTCCAGGGCTTTCATCAGAAATGTTAAGTGAAGGAGTTGCAAAATCTTTTGCCATTAAAATCATAAATTTGACAACAAAATTTTTAAAGCCCTGCAAAGCGTCCTGGATAAAATCAGCATTACAGAACACAGAGGTTTCACAATTTCTCAGCTGAAGGTTAAGAAACCAAGCAAAGTTTCTCAGTTCTGACCAAGAAGGATTAATCATTCCACAATATAACAAGAACAGCTGTAGGCATTCTGCTGGAGTCCCTTCCACTGAGCCTTTTCTATACTGGAACCTATCAAGATTTTCACCTCTGTTTTCTCTTATCAAATACTGGAATGGTCTCTGAAAAGCTTCATTACAGAACGTTTCTTTATCTATTCCTGGATCATTGCTGTCATGAAATAAATTCCCCTCAGTATCGTTCTTCAGTACTTCTTTAGGAGATCTGCAAGTTATGTGGGGGAAAACATCAAGGAAACCGTACTTCAATCCTGGAAATATCTGAAAATAAAATAGAGAGGGAAAAGGAAGGAGTTACAATACAATCAAAAACTTTATTGAATGTATTCTCCTCTTTTTCACAGGCTTAAAATTAATATTTTAATTTTGTACTGTTGGAAACAGTTGTCAATACTGCAGAGTTAAGTAATTACTAAGAACATAATTATTTCTTCACTACAAGGGATTATGGGAAACCTCTCCTCAAGGGACAAGGGGAAAAAAAGGTTCAGTCCCTTGCAGACAGTTTCACCTTAATCCCATGTAAGGAGGTGTTTTTCCCTTTGTTCTTTGCAGAGTTTTTTTTCCCTTCAGTCGCTCCAAAGAGATTAAGGGGAAATCCATATTGTCTTCATAGTCTCGTGGAAACCTAGGATTCCACAGAACCCAGTTTGAAAACTCTGCTCTAAAGTATTAAAAACACAGCACATAGTACATATTCCGATATGTGCTTCTGGGTGTACTTACAGACCCTCTTTGTTTTTTGGATGAGGGAGATGCTTCCAGAATTTCTACAACATACAGGTGGCACTGTTTTCGGAGCCAGATTTTCCCATCTATATCTTCCAGATAACGTAAGACAAACAGCTTGAACAAAAATTCTGAAATTCCAGTTTGAACCTGGAAGAATACAGAAACATAAGGAAGGCACAAATAAAGAAGGATGCTCCTCCTATAGATGTAAACATATCCTCTTACAAAAGGATGTATTGGTTGAAATGGGAACCATCCTCAGTCAACACTGTGGTATACTCACAGAAGAAGTAATATCAAAATGAAAGATCATGGGCCGTTTCTGGAACTTATGGTCCAGGAATGGAAAGAGAGCATTCAGGATTTTTCTTTCGTTCACATGGGGTTCAATCAGCCGGATGGTTCTTAAAAGGACTTTGTGACCTTGCAGTTCTGCTTCCATTTTCTGATGCAGCCTCTTTATATAGAGAGATTTTCCTATTGTTTTTAACAATAAAAAATGTATTTTAGATATTGACTGGAAAAAAAACCCTAATTGATTTGAGACTGAGAACTCACATAGTCTATACAAGTGTTTAGCAACAATAGGGAAAATATGGGGAATGTCTTTGGGGCCTTTTGGCCGTAAATAAAAATGGTTGTTGTTGTTATATAGGGAATGTTGAAGAAAATCAATCCAGTTAGAATAATGATCAGAATAAATTAAAACTTTTTAAAATCCCATTTTCCTCTTTATAAAAAGTAGCCTAGGGATGATTAGATCTCATTACTGAAATGCTGAATCTATTCTTGTGGTCCTGTGAAATGTATGCTGGTTCTGTCATATATACACTGAAATATCCAACCATCAAATATATGCATTTTGTTAGTTTTTCATCTCACAAGAATGGCTCCTGCCAGCCACTATTCATGTGTGCAAAGACACACGCTGGATAGGATTGTTATTTAATGTTTATATGATGGTGTGGGTAGGCAATCAAAAGCAAAAAGCAATAAAGGAAAGGGTGGTTGAAGCCAGCCTTAAACACAAGAATGTAATGATCTTGCGAATCTGTAACTTTCAAACATGTAAGAAAACATAATATACTATTTCTTAAATTGAAGTAGGCAATCTTCTGGTGGCTGAGGGCCACACACCATAGTTAAAGACACAGAGACCATGGTGGGCAGGGCGATAATCCTAAAGAGAGTTGAATCTGGAAGTTCTGATTTCTTTTCTGGGTTTTTTACAGGAGGAAGGTGTTTCTTTTTTCTCTGTTTGCTACTGTGAGTAAAACCACAAAGGCTTTAAAGCATACCCTTACAAAGAAGGTGCTTTCTCAATAGACCAAAATTTACTTCCTCAACTTCCACTGCCACTGGAGTTGGGTGGCTATAATAAATTCAAATAAATAAATAAATAATGAAAATAAATTAGGAAGTTTTAATCTAAGTCACTTTTATGTATTCCTCTTTTCCCTCTAGTTTTCCAGTGTAGTTGGCAAGAAGTTCAGAAGCATTCACATTACATGTTAATTAAAATCACAGTTCCAATTAACCATAGCACTACTTAACCTTAAGCTATTAACATAAACCCATGGTTTGAAACAGATTTGCTACAAACAAGCCTGCTTAATATTTAATATGACGTGTTAATCTAATCTGGGTCATTTTTTTCTTGCTAAACTATGATTATATATCCAAGATGGGAGATTGTTTGAACTTGGTTCTCTCACCCATTCCAGCTCTTTCAGAAGATACAATCCCAACACACATGTTATCCTTGAAGACAGAAGTTGATGGATTTCCAAGCTCATTGGCTTTGTAATGCTTCCCAAGGTAACTTTGAATGTCTTTTAGGGGCCGAAGAGGGATCATGTGAATGATGAAATTACTAAAAACAGAGGGGATATAGCAGTGTTCTCTCTCACAGTTGCAGAACATCACTAAACTATAGTCACTCATATGTTTTAAATGAAGGCTCTGGTATAGTTCCTCTAACTTATAGGCAACATCATAACTCAACTCATCTGCAAAAAGCAAAGTATAAATCTTCTTCTCTTTATTGTTTGAAGTAAAGCACCGCCTCATAAACAATTCCACTTGCTCATAGCTAGTTTGTGGTGTACACAATAAGACTTCATCATAAGAGGGTAGCATCTCTTCTGGACTGTTCATGTAGATGGCAAGTGTGGAAATCAAAACATCAGAGCGAGGGCAGAGGATGAGATTGGGCTGCCTCGCATGAAGACCTTGTGGTAATACTCGCACAATAGTCCTTTTCTCCAAATCTGCCAAAGCAGATAGGAACCTACCAAGCATTTCAATATCAAAGCAGTGTGGAAGGAATAAGTCCATATTTTCCATGTAGGAACCCCAAATTTCCTCCAGTTGTTCAGTCAATTCTATTGTACTTGCACAGAGTCCATATATGACACCAAAACTCCTTTTTGGTATTTCAGATACCACTAATTTGGAGACTTCTTTAATATCTTGTCTACTGCAGCTGTGTTTTATGAAGGACAGCATCATTAAGGCAGCCTCACTGGGTGTCCCTGAACCAAGCTCCTTGCATAAATATACAAGTTGCTCAGCCATGTAGTAATTCAGATAAAAATACTGGGATCGCTTCTCAGACATGAAGTGATTCCACCTCTGCAGAAAACTCTCCATCTTTCTGCATATGGCTGGCAGAACGTCTGCTACTTCTCCACTTCCACAAAGGCCACTGATAGAATTTAATTTAAAGTTCATATTAATGCAAAACTGATTCTCAGGTGAGCAATATATGTCAGCAATCCAGTTTCGGAAGAGCATGTTTCCAGCAGAATAAAGGTCCATGAAGGACAATGCAAGTCTCTGAACGCTAGAAAACACCTGAGTGAAGAACACACACAAAAACATAACGGTAGGTTGAATCCAAATCATTATTAGAACAATCCATGCAAAGTATATATTACCCACTGTCCATTTGCTTACTGGCAAATACCTACATTTAGCCTCAATCAACTTTTTATTATTTAGAATACAGGTATGCAATCCATAGCCATTTTCTATGCAGATCCCAAGCTCTGCCCTTTCCACTCTGTAACCAATAAGCTCACAAATAAGCGATGACAAACCATTAATAGTTTACTTGCTGCTATTAGCATGGGGAGGATATGTGAGTAAATAGGAAAGAGTACAGAATTGTAGAAACATGAGAGATTCAGGAATGGGCCAGAAAAATGACACATAGTCCAGTGTCTGATTATGAGAATGGGATCACTGTGATATTACAATAACTGAATCACTGTAGTATCAATGAAACAATTTTACTATTGCTAAAAATGATAATAAATTGGGCATCCTCATGCTTTACCATCCAATAGTCTGATATGAAATAGATAGATAGATAGATAGATAGATAGATAGATAGATAGATAGATAGATAGATCGATCCCAAAGGGATGAAACAACCCCATCTTCCCAAAAGAAACATCATAAACATTACTTACCTATCACAATTCAGCAATAAGCGATCATCTTTAAACGTACTCAAATATATATCTATTTTAAATGCTTTGGGTATCTAAAATCATCAATTCCTCTTAATCACTATCAGACTCTCAACGTTACAAGAGTTGGCAATCATTTTTGATGATGCGTGCCCTTATGTTATGTTCAATGGCACAGACCCATGAAAATTCAAGAATAAAAAATGGGTCTGTGCCATTTTAACCTCATGGGATCATCAAATGTAACAGGTTTCAATAACTTTGTTCTCAAGAATGTTAAAATCTCACACTCTCTCACTAAAGATGCAAAAACACTGAAATATGAAATTTATTAATTTAGCAAGACGTGGATTTAATTATGGACTGGCAGCAATATCCAGGCATTGTGATACTTTTGTGAATATGGAATACTATCAAAACAGTCTAGAAACAACATGAAGAAGAAAGCAGAATCCTAATATTCATTCCTCTCCATCACATGTATTTCAATAACAATAATTTGGAAGGCAGAGGAAAATATGACAGGAAGCTTACTTCAGAAAATTTATCCACTTCTGCACTTTGTTCTACTTTTCCTGACATCAACATCAGCTTGTTCATCAGTTCTTGAAGCTCTTCCAGAGAGTACTGCCGTTTCTTCTCTTGTTCCCCATGACTTTCTTGGACAGTCAGGTCCAGAACAGTGTCCAGACAAACCTTACAACAAAACATAATATGTGCAAAAGAATTCTGATCTGTGTTTTCCTTTATACAGGAATACCAGCCTGTCTATTTATCACCTCCAGGTTATGCTAAATTATGGTGAGCCTACAATTACCCTGGGATAAAGTAAAGTTATTAATAGAAGGTAATCAGGGGAAAATGAATGCACAAATCTACAATCTTCTGATTGCCACAGAACTCTTTTGATTGCTTAATACCTATGCATTATTATTTAATTTATATTTATATGGTTTCCCACTGTTGTAAATCTTGAAGGGGTTTACAGTAGAAATAAAATGTAAAAATGCAAACCATACATTAGAATAACATAAAAATAACAGTCATTGAAAAGGTGGGGGAAGAGAGGGAAGGAAACCCAAAGCAAAACTGACACTATTCACCCATCATTAATACAAAATGCTGGGAAGAAAAATCATTTGAAAAAAATAAGCCCTCTTTTACAAAACTTACTGCCAATCATGATTGGCCACACTGGCTAAATCACACCAATTGTTGACTGCATGCCTGGCCAATAGGGAAGAGGCTAGTGATGTCATGAAGTTCTGCCAGCACAAGGGTTAATTGAACAATAAGTCTTTGATGCAATAATATCCTTTTGACACATTACTGTATTTCTGTGTTTAATCCTTATTTTCTTTTACACCGCCCAAAATTGCTTCAGCAATTGAGGCAAATGGATTAAATGCATAATAAACATTTAAAAATAGTTTTGTACAAGTTAGCAGAAAAGTAGAAAAAATAGGACATCATGTTTTAGATTCCTTTAAGCAATGTCTCACCTTCTGCCCTTCTAGCGGGGCCTTAATTCTGTAGATTCCTTTGCTATTGATTGTGGTTGCCAGCGATATAGATGACAATTCCACAGAGCCATGACTCTCTTTGATAGTTTTTAGCCAATCCAAGTATCTTGCAGAATCACACTGTAGGGAGAAGATATAATATGGATTATTCCTATTAGCCTGTGTCTTTCCCAAATCAAGTAAAGGAGATGACATTTAAGCACAGACATTCTAAAATTTCTACCCCACTATTTTTTGGGCTTTCAAGCATATTTTATAGAAGGTTAAATTCCACTAAAATCACCAACTGACATAATTTGCAAATTGGACTTTATGTGGCAAAACATAGCTCTGCGTTTCTCTTTGAATGCAGAGTATGTACTGGTCCGCAGACTTCAGGTTCAAAGAGTATTTCTACTATACCTCAACTGCAACGAATTAATATGCTATAGGTATAAAGTAAAAGAAAAAAAACTTTTATCAAGTGCACAGCATTTAAAGGTGAGTAATGGAGAGCTACGATACTGCTACAGTTAATTACCAGCTTTGTGGAGAGGTTGTGATCACTTTCCAGAGCTTTCCATATTTTCTCCAAACACTTCATGAACTCCTCAAATCCTGCTTCTCGCTTTAAATCATACAGCAGGGAGGAGTAGCCATACACAGCATCATGAAAACAAGCCACCCGATCCACATCCATGTCATTCTCTCCTGCAGATATGGAAGCCAGCTCCACGAACACTTTCAGCTCATTTATGTCTAATAGAAATAAACAAAGCATTTCATGAGATAAAAGGAAATGTATGATCTATGAATGGCTTCCCTGGATGCACTGCAGTGCTTTCTAGCAAGTAACTTGCTTCTACTATCTGAGCTGAAGGATGGCTCCAACACCAGCACTTACAGTTGCTTTCTTCACTTATACAAGAATCTGTGCAGTGGAATAATGAAAAATAGAGATGTGAAAACCTAGCATTCTGGAGAGTTCTGGAAATGTTTCATTCTACACTGGCTACACTGTTCCAGCTGTGACCCAACAGTTTTTACAAGTTAATCCTCTGAACTGTAAGTGCTTCTGCTTCTAAATAGAGAATTAACTTCTAGAAAACTGCTGCATATCTGGGCCATTGTGGAGGAGAAATAGAACATTCCAAAGTTCCCTAAAACATTAGGTTTTGCACATCCCTAATACAGCAAGGAAAATGAGGAAAATGACCCTGAAGTGTTATCTTTATTATTATGATTAAACTAGATAACGTAGCAAGTTTGGGATTTAAATAAGAAAGTAACGGAAAACGAGTTTGATTATAATTTGGATTTGACTGAATGTAGGGTTTTATTTTTTCTCTGCTCCTTTGTTTTGTGCTGTTATTTATGCTTTAAATTTGCACTTTAGACTAATTTATGTAAATAAAATATGCAAATACTTGCAGTCAGTTTCAGTTTCTACTGAAATAGGCCTCCCAATAGTAACAAGCTATGTGAAATATAGTAACATTTTACTGCTTAATTCTACTTTAATTCTGAGAAATGCTTTTAGAATACAGAGAAGTCAGGAAGATCAGAAGTGATTAATCCATTTCTAACAGGCTGAAGGAGAACAGATCAGGGTTGAGTTGGCCTAATGCTGGAGTGCATCTGCTACCAAGATCAGCTGAAAGGAGGCTCAGGATGCAATGTGTTAGACTGGCAAGGAGTAGCCTATTCCTGTCACCCCTTTCTTCCAACCTTAACAAACTCAGACTCTTCTACGCATCTTCAAAACAAAGGCACCGCATCTTCAAAACAAAGGCACCGTAGGCAGTAATCCCTGGGAGCTTCTGCCTGCTGGTCCCACAATGCAGCACTTGTACCTACAGCTGAAATCCAAAAGGAGAAGACAGAACAGCCCCTCAAAGTCTTTGTCAATTTACGGAAGCAAGCAGTAGCAAGTTCTGCACTTGCACCCAAATTCTTCTACTACCAAGAGATGTTTAGAGTGATGCGGATTGTATTAGCATACTAGTTCCATGGAGATGACAAGTACAAAGAAAGCTGTTGTTGCTGCTCTGTCTCCTGTGATCCTATAATGTTAAGTCTCACACGGTGCCAATCACATTAACTTCTGCTGCTGCTGCTACTACTAATTATTCTAGCTTTCTTCCACCCACCCCCCCCAAATATTCATATGCCACTTTCCCATGTGTTATAGGTTAAGTCTGGGGATGTGGCCACTTGGGCATAAAGCAACATAGATCCCATGAATAGGGTCTTTTCATCATTATCATTTTACAGAGAAGCTATAACCTTCACTTTGATTCAGAATTACGCTTTCCCAGCATTCACTTAATCCTGACTTTTACCTTATTTTATCCTATGTCTTAGTTCCATCTCTCCTACAATGTCTTCAATATACACTACTCCTACGTTATCTTTTTCCAGATCAGCTAACTCAAGCCCAGCTCCCTGCATGCCCAGTTAGTGTTGCCTTGTTGCACTTGGACTTTGGGTTGGGAGCAGGCGCTTGGGTTTGTGGCTGGACAGAAGTTTTGAAATGTGGGCAAACTTTTTTCCTAGGTTACTACTTTATATTCACTGGCCCCTGTCTGATGGCTACTAGCACCCTGGGCTTCTTTGGGGTATCTCACAACATCTCAGGCTGCAAAGCAGCATGGCTGGTGCTCTAGGCAGCCCCCTCCTGGATGCCAGTATCCTGGGCTCACCATAACAGGTTATGTTGGCATCTTCTCAGCCTCCTGATGACCTGCCCTCATCAACATGCCCTTGTCTAGCAGCCTCCACTCAACGTTAACCTGCTGTTGTCTCCCATAGTGATCCTGTTACCACATCATTCACGTCTTTCTGCCCCACCTCCATCACTGATCCTGCTGCTGCTTCTGCCACTAGCAATGGCCTCTTGTTCTCCACTGTACCTTTGGAACTTCAGGTTTCAGGTTCTAGTCTTTGTTCTGCTTTCCCTTCTTGTAGTTCCATTCTTTCAGTCTTGTGACACTGCGCTTCTGCATTTGAGTCCCCACTGATACTAAGATAGCCTAGCTCCTTCCTAAAAGGCCAGCTCCTCATTTTTAGCAGTGCAAGGGCCCCTAAAAGCTATAGGTGTCACTGCCCCACACCTGGTCTCCTATACCATTTATACAGGAACCTGAAGGGGAAATATTTCCTCAACCTTTACGTTTTCCCATTATATTTATTCACAACAGCATATACAGTATGTAACTTTGCTTGGTTATGCATGATTGTACATCTAGATGTTCTATTTGTCAATGTTTAATTCATGCTTTGTCTCTGCATAGGCAACAGTAGGGAAAAGAAATACACATTCAAGTGTATGTACCTCATTGTGCAGGCAAATGAAGAATCCAAAGGAGAGAAAGTATAGAAGTAACAAGATGTCAGACAGAGAGGAGGAGAAGGTTCAAAAAGTTAAATAAAATATTCAACTTTATGCTTTCTCTGTCCCCAAGTCTGCTTGCAAATCCCAACCTGATAAACAGAATGGAGAAAACAACAGCTCGACCCAACATATAGTAGAGTTAAAGCTTGTTCAAGGTCATGAAGAAACAGAGATGTATCAGTTCTACCTTCCAAAGCCTCTTTGACCCAGTAAATAAACTCCTTCCTAACTGCAAGCTCTTCGAGGCACTCACGACGTTCTTTAGTAATATCTTGCAGCAGTTTCTTAGCACGCATCAATGAAGGACTCATAGAAGAAAGCTTTTCTTGTTGAAAGGATTGGAATTCAGTTGTCTGAAGAGTAAATTACATGAAATGAAAAATACTGCAAATTAAAAACACACAAATCCTCTTCCCTTTATTCCACAGATTTCTAATTCTTTAACCTTCTGGTTTCAGAGATTCACAGAACTGACATGGACTTTTTCTAAATATCACTCCTTTTAGGAAATGCAGGCATATAACAGAGGTGTGTAGTTTCTATCAGCTCAAGGGCCATATCAGTGGAGCCTGTAGCCACCACTTTAAAAAAAACCCTATAATTTTATGAGACTGCAACTATGCAAAATCTCAGATGATTGGGCTGTCTTTTCAATGGGAAGTTAAAGAGATGTACTTACTAAATTCAGTAATTGTTGCAGGACACTGAAATTACCAGAAAGCTTCAAAACTTCCTTGACTTTGTCAATAACTTTAGCAGAGTCCAATGCCAAATCCAATTCATGATACTGCTGGATCTGCTGGATCCGTTCATCTATCCATTCTCCATTATCTTGATACTGCAGTTTGCACATAATTTTGAAATCGCGTCTGAGTTCTTCATAATTGTTAATAAAATCTTCAAAGAGAGCCTTCACTTCAGCAAATGTGAGTTCTCCCAATTTCAAGCTATCATAAAGCCTTTGGAATTCTGTGCGACAAGGATCAAAAAAGCAATCATACACATCCTCCATATTTAGAATGGTCAGAATTTCTTCTGTGTCTGGATCCTCTGTGCTGTTCATCAGCCTCTTGGCTGCCTGCTCCCAGCAATACTGGAAGATGTGGCTATCTTTAAAATCATACACAAATTTAGATATCTCCTTCAGCTCTTGACTCAAATGGAGATAGCTCTCTATTCCATCGTCACTGCATGAAGTAGGTTTTCTCACATTCACAACATCATCCAATGTTTCCAGTGCCAGATTTTTGTTATTCTTTTGCTCCATTTCAGTAAAATCCACTTTAAAAAAGGGGGGAAAAATGTAAGTTGGAGTGTAGTAATTTTCAGTTCATTTAAGCATTTGATATAAGCTGCACAAAGATTCACTCTACAGAACCCATCTCAAGAGTTTGCATTTTCATATCTGCATTATTCTATTTCTCTCATGTTAGAATTTTCAGTTGCTTTCCCATTCACCCTTCCATATATTCAAGCCCCATTTTAGGAGGATATTAACAATAACTGCAAAGGAGAAGTATCAGACAATAATTTGCAGAGGAAAATCATAAATACTGATTTTAAAATTATCATTATTTTAAAATTTTACCTTTTACGTAGCACTGAACCTTCCTCAACATGTCCAAGAGGACTCCCAAATATTTTTTCTCCCTCTTGACATGTATTACTTCCTCTAGTCTCAGCTTTAAAACTTCTTCTAGTTTCAGTCCTTCAAGTGATTCATTTAACAGTGATTGTTCCTTGCATTCTGAAATAATTTGTACCAGCCGATAAGAGAAATTCTCCAGACAATGCATACTCAAAAATCTATAAACAATATAAAACACTAAAACCTATCAAGACAGCAGCTAAACATATACAGCATAAAATCACAATAGCAATAATCCTGACGTTCTAAATGCCAATACAGTAGCAATGTGCAAAATTTACTGTTCTGAGGAGGGGAGATTCTAGGCAGCATTGGAATAATATGTCTCTCTTCTGGACTAGGCCAATCTGGGGCCATCTCATGCATGGACCATTTTCTGCTAAGAATACTTTTTTTTCATAATTACAGTAATAACAATCTAACACCCCTTGAGTCTTGAATTGGGTATTTCTGTAATTTATACACTGCACCTGAAGACACTGAACTTCTGGCCCAGCTATTTGATGAACCTCTCCCTGAAAAGCCCCCAGTTTCACCCAGAGATTCAAAAACTAATTTCTCAGTTGGAAAATAGCAAAGCCCCCGGGAAAGATTTAATCTTACCAGAATTCTTAAAATTAAACCCTACATGGTGGGCATCTGTGCTTGCTCTCCTTTTCACAGCCTTAAATAATTCCTTATGTCTCCCTAAAGATTGGCTTAGCTCTATTATTTTCCCAATCTACAAGAAAGGTGATAAATGTGACCCTGCAAATTACCAATTAGCCTTTTATCCGTAATCAGTAAATTATATACAGTGGTACCTCTATTTACCAACGCCCCTACTTACGAAATTTTCG